GTAAAAACTTCTCTGAACACACAAAGACGACGACTCACAGCCAGAAGAAATTTAGGATTACCACACGCAAACTTTTTCTGCCCACATTTTCAGATTCTTTAAAACTTTCTCAAAGTTTGCACGATTAAAAAAAAACATATCCTCCAGAAGCTCCAGCAAACACCTCTCCAGATCCAGGGCCTGTTTTTAGCCTGAGAGGCAAAACTCAGGGTGGAAAATGTTCCATTTCCTAAAGTTTAGAAACGGTTAAAGTTCTTACTTTAATTAAAAAACCTCTTCACATGCTCTGTTAATTTAAAAAGTAACTTAAGCTGTCAGAGAGATCGACAACGTTTCTCCTAAAATCTTTGAAATCTGTGCAGGTTTAAACGAAGCAGAAAGGGTTAACTTTTCTGATTTATATTTATTTTACAATGTGAACTAAAGAGTGGAGAAGAACATGCTGGAGAACAGGAAACATGCAGCAGCAGGTTCATTAGAGTACAGAGATGGTAGAGGTGGCGTGCAGACAGTCTATGGTCGTGCAGCGATCAGGGAATAAAGGTCACCACCCCTCCCACTGGCCCCTCCCACTGGCTCCAGGTGAATTCTCCTGATTATATCCTGCTGCGTTCTCACATCAGATCACTCTGACTTTCTGCAGAATAAATACGAGGAGGAAATATCAGGAGTTTTGCACCAATATATGTTTGAAGTATTATTTAGATTTAACCACTTGTGGAAGGGAGATTGTTGTGTGTAAGAGAGATAAACCGCATTGCATGCTGGGTATTGTTCACTCTCCAGGTATACCCGTCAGAGTTTGGAAAGGAGCGTGTGAAGTCAGAGGAGACCCAGGGACCGCTGGAGCTGAGAGCTCTGCCCGACGACTCGGACAACGACACCGAGGAGGAGAAGTAAATAAAGACAAAGTTTAAAAAGTCACACAGACGGAGTCTTCAAAAAACTGTGTGTGTGTTTATTGTGCGTGTGTGTGTGTTTCTCCTCTCAGGGTTTACAGGGAGAAGATGCGGGATTACCAGTTCAAGCGTCTGAAGTATTACTACGCCGTGGTGGAGTGTGACTCTGTTGACACGGCGGCTAAGATCTACGAAGAGTGTGACGGCTACGAGTACGAGAGCAGCTGCTCAGTCCTTGACCTGCGGTGAGAGGAGGAGACAGGAGTAGGGTCGTCACGATACCAGAACTTCAAACTCGATACGATTCTAGTAAAAATGACATATTATCAGTACATGTTTCGATACCATGACAACAAACATAAAAGTCCTCTGAATCATTTCACAGTGTGCAAGTTAAGACCGTGTGCAGGAGGTAACCTGTAGTTTATGGTGGATTAATTCCTGTCCTGCACACCTGTCTTCTAAAAAAGATGATGTTTTTAGAAAAGAGAATTTATCGTTTTAAAGGAGCAGTATGTAACTCTGACACCTAGTGCTTAAAATGGGTACTGCAGTCTAAATTTTAAACATTGTAGAGAGCTGTCCCCCCCCTCCTCTGTAGAGTGGATGCTCACTCAGGTCACCATGTGGTGGACTCTGAAGCTTCAGTGTTTATCCAGCTCTGCATGGGTCTGTAAACCTTTCTGTGTTCTAACCTCTCTCCATTTTTCAAAAGCATCTCCAATATTGATCCTAGTTTGAGCACGTTTCTGCTCGTGGAGCTTATTAGAAACATGCAGAGGCTTTTTAGGTCAGGTACAATCACTTCTATCTGAACCACTTCTCTTGCCCGCTTCCATCACTGCAACACCTGTTGACCTGATAACTGCTCTCATATCTGACAAACCGAGGGGCGTCCAAAACGGCCGTGTGGTGGGTGCCTTAAAAGCGCCTACCTTCTCTGGTCCAAACAAATCCAGAGCATTCAGGAGCAGAATCTAAAGTTAGAAGGAGGACATACTGGCTGCTGCATTGTTGTCAGAGAAGCCAGCACTTCAACATAGCATGTTTCCTTAATGATCAGATAGTAAGCTCACTTTGTCATTTCGCACATCTCACTGATCTTACTGATGTGGTACCAAAATATCTAAAATCTTAACAATCTTAGACACAAGAGGAGCGTCATCAAATATCAAACAGTTAAAGTAATCAGGAAGAGATTAAACGGTATGATTGAATCTCAAACCTTTCTTGAACAGGTTTATTCCTGATGACGTCCAGTTCGACGAGGAGCCCAAAGACGTGGCGACGGACGTGAATCTGTCGGCTTACACGCCAAAAGTGTTTACCTCATCAGCCACCACGACGTCAAAGGTGAGACAACGGGCTGCGAATAACGGTTTATTTTCATCAGCTCAAATAAAAGACGGACAGAGCTTCAAAACAAAACCCGCTCACTGACAAATGCATGACGTTCACGCTGATGTTTCCGTGTTTAACCCATCAGGTTCAGCTGACGTGGGATGAGACGGACCACGATCGAGTGACCGCCATGAACAGAAAGTTCAACAAAGAGGAGCTGCTGGACATGGATTTCAACGCCTACCTGGCCTCCTCCAGCGACGAAGAATCTGAAGAGGAGAGAGAGGAAGGAGGGTTTGTGTTTGGAGAGCAGGAGAACGAAGAAGACAACGAGGACGACAACGCGACAGACGGTGAGACGGTTAAAGACGCTTTACCGCGGCTTTATTGTGAGATGAACTTTGAGCTTTTTCTGACGTTTTGTTCGTTTTGTAGCCAAACAGACTGAAGAGCCGGTCTTGAAGGTGGAGAAGAAACCCCAGAAAGAGGACGAGAAGAAGAAGAAGAAGAAGAAGAGCGGCGAGGAGCAGATCTCTAAGTACCGAGAGCTGCTCAAAGGAATCCAGGACAAAGAGAAGAAGCTGCAGGAGGACAAAGACATGGAGATGGAGATCACCTGGGTGCCAGGTATGAGGGTACCTTTAATGTCAGCAGGCAGGATGGATCAAACACTCATTAACATTAAAAGAGTAGTACACTTTGAATATCTAAACCTTGCATAAAGACTAGGGCTGTCGAATTATAAAAAAAATTCAAATCGCATGTTTTTCCATTATTTCCTTAACGAGTGAGTTAATGCGTTTTGCTGTCTGCGTGTGCAGGTCTGAGGGAGACGACGGAGCAGCTGGTGAAGAAGAAGATGGAGGGGAAGGACAACCTGACGCCGTGGGAGGAGTTTTTAGAGAAGAAGAAAGACAAGAAGAAGCAGAAGAAAAGTCAGAGGAAACAGGTGAGAGAGGACGACAGGTGATCACACCGAGTAGTGTGATGGTGTTGAAAAGTAAAGCCGACGCTGTTCCTCGAGTGTCCACTAGAGGCTGGCTGCAGAAGCACAGGAAGTCACATACACACCCATTCTAAAAAGCCTGTTTTTACAGCAGAGATGAACATGTTTACAGCCTGGTTCAAATGAATTGATGAAGGATAAGAGTTATTCACAATAAGGCGTGTAGCTGACCTGATTGACAGGTGGGCGCGGTGTAACGGTTTGTCAGGAGGTTTAAAACTCAGGCTTCATCCATTAATATTCACAGTCTATGGATCACACATGTAAACAACAAACCTGTAATGATGTATGTCACAAAGTTATTAATGATTCAGATTTTTACTTTTTGTCTCAGGGAGAGAGTGACGATGAGCTCAGTGAGGACGAGCTTCCTCCAGACGTCGATCTCAGCGACCCCTTCTTCGCAGAGGAGCTCGCTGCTTCAGGTAATCAGTACTTTCAATTAATCAGTTTATCAATACGTTAGTATGAAGGGTTTGTTTTCTTGATTTATTTGGACCATCATAAAACACAGGCACAAAGGAGGAAGAATAGTTAAAGCAAATGATCTATTATTTATGAAGGATTAGTGAAGCGTCCCGAGTAGGGCAATGGATTCTTCTTTAGTCTGATGGTTTATGAACTTTTATTCACTTTATACCATGGCAATAGTTTCCACAAACACACCGTAAGATATTTATAAAGAAAACAAAGAAAAATACAAATACCGTAAAATCCAGAATATAAGACGCAGTCCGATGTTGAAGGAGAGAAGAAAAGGTTCAAACTGTCGTCCTGCGTGACGATTTCTGTTGTTCAGCGTAGTGTACAGCTACAAATGCGTCTTACACCTTGGATTTTACGATAACCATCAAAAGTAAAACCACATATTCAAGCAGAGATAGTGAAACATTTTCAACATAAAAACATGACAACAGATGAAGGTTTATTGTATGGGTCATTAAAGTATTGAAAACATTTGATACATTTACCCGGTAAAAAACAGTAAAATAAAAGGTGCTGGGCAGTTTACCGATGATATGAATTTTAATTTCATATATCACAATACAGACAAATAATGGCTGAAAAAATGGTTGTTTACTCTCTTGAGAGAAGAGAAGAGTAAACCCTTTTCACTTCGGCACCGCTGAAAGGCATGATCGGATACATCGCCACAACTACGATCTGTGCTAGCAGTAGCATTTAGCTTTCAAGTGGAGAAGACGGATGGACATGTTGGAGATCGAAGAAACGGAAATGAAGGCACACAAGAAGAACTTGTGCTGAAGAGAAGAGCTGTGTCTATTCTGTGGAGGCTTTTCAGATTTAAAATAAAATCAGACGTGGACCAAACGACCATTTATTGCAAAAGTTCTCGAGCTACAGTTGTTCCTGGAGGAGGCAACACCAGCAATTTGCTCCCACCACGTCAGCAGAAAGGAAGTCTTGGAATACCAAGAATGTCTGAGCAAGTGTTGGCTCGAAGGACTGCCTATGAGAAGCTAAGCCAACATTGGAACAAGGTCACATATGCAATAACCTTCTATCTGGCCAAAGACATGGTCCTGCTACATACAGCCAAAAGAGACGGCTTTAAGGGGATAATCAAAACCGTGGATGCCAGGTATGTGTTAACTTAGCTTAATACAGATCCCCACATCGTAATAAGCTAGAAGCAGAGCTGGGAACAATTGCCCACTACTCAAAAACAACAGACATGTGGTCTAGTCTCAGTAAGGCGTTATACCATACCATATAGGGGCGGCTGTGACTCAGTTGGTAGAGTTGGTCATCTGTCAACCGGAAGGTCGGGGGTTTGACGTCTGATGTGTCCTTGGGTAAGACATTTAACCCCGAGTTACTCCCGCTGCTTCGTCGGTGGCGTATGAATGGGATTAGTAACTTCTGATGGTCTCTTCACTCAGCAGCCTCTACCATCAGGGTGTGAATGTGTATGTGGGACCTGCGGTGTAAAAGCGCTTTGAGTAGTCAGAAGACTAAAAAGCACTAAACAAGCTCAAGTCCATTTACCATACCTAAGCATGGCTGTAATTCTTCTCTCAATCCTGAAAATATTGTGAAACACTTCCTCTACCTTTGCCCAATCGCGCGAAAAGAGTTGGGAAAAAATTCAGTGCTAAAAGTTTTTTTTCATACCCAGCACTAATAATAAAAAAAAAGATCTGTTCACCCATTTACTTATTACACCAAAAAATACAATCCATAACCTGAAAACCTTTAATACTATGACCTTTATTACGTCAGAAACAGATACAAAATTCAACGACCAAATGGCTAACAGCTAGTGGCTAAAATAGCATGGCTAAGCTTAATGCTAGCATTTATTCTAGCACAGCTACGTTGTTAGCAGGATTGCTGTACCCACACTTCACAATCAAATCGACAAAATACACTGTACGCCTACCAGCTGGTTGATAAGATGTGAGAGGATGACGACGAGTTTCCATCAATAACGCACTGATAGCCTACCTACCGGCGCTATCCAGTCTTAAGCAGGTAAGAAGCAAACCAGCCTTCAAAATAAAAGGCCCCCAAATCATTAAGAAACAGATAAATGGTAGAAAGGACCAAAACTCACTACGGCAATCAATAATTGTAATAATCTTCATGGGTCCTTTCTGATTAAAACAAAGTTGTGTATATTTACAGAAGAAGATTAAGAATCAATCCCAGGTGTTTAATACCTCAAGAACAGCAGATTCTGTTCAAGAAAGATGTAAAATATAGTGTTGACAAAGACTATGTAGCCTTGTTCTTTTGAAGTCAAATCAGTATAGAAAGTAAGTGATTATTTCACACTGACAGGAGAGATGACCAGAGGTGCAGAGTTTTTGCCTCCTTTATTAAGATAGGGACTGAAGTAAGGGAAGAGTTTCTCAGTGAAGGAGCAGTCTGTAAAGGAGTAGATCAGAGCTGCAGAGTCCACATCATAAAAGGAGACCAGACCCTCCTCATAATCCACAAACACCCCCACCTTCTCAGGACGACACTTCAGAGAGAGACGGACTGGAGGGTCATCAAGGGCTGTGTACTTATTTCCATTTCTCAAACATATAGACCACAAACTCTCCTCAGGACTCAGTGTGATTAATCCCTTCCTGTTGATGGACTCTCTGACCACTCCTAAAAACCAACAAGTCTTTCCTTTAACCTGAACCTCGAAGTAAAATCTGCCTGAAGAGAAACTCTGCTTTCCTAAAACACTAACACAAAGAGAGAATCTCTCTGGGTTGTCTGGAAGATTCTTCGTCACGTCACCATGATGAACTTGTTTCCCATCTTCAGACAGTATGAGATCAGGATGTGCTGTATCAGGATCAAGAGTTACATCCACAGCATACTGCTGGACTCTCTTCAGCTCAGCTTGATCCAACAACTTCTTCATCTCTTCACTGAGAGTCTCCTCCAGCTGAGCCACAGCGTTCCTCACAGTCTCCTCATAAAGTGGTTGACAGACATTAACCTCTGTCCAGTCTTTGGTGGGTGGAGCAGAGTTAACAGACTGGACTCTCTGGATTAGATGGAAGTGGTCTTCAGAGCGTGAGAGCTGCTGCACATCAGTGCTCCTCTTCATCAGCTCACAGATTTCCTGCTCCAGCTCTTTGATGAAAGCTTCGGCCTGTTTCTTTGTTGTTTTCAGCTTCTTGTCGATCGTGTTGATGAACTCGGCCCGGCCTCTCTCAACAGACTCCTTCAGAGCGGTGAAGACTCGAACACCTTCTGCCATCTCTCTGTCTGCATCGTCCTTACTGAGGTCCACTGAGTGTTTGATCTCCTGAATCTTCAGTCGAGTTTTCTGGATCATCTGCTGAATTTCAGCCTCTGTCTCCTCCAGCTCTGCCTTCTTTTCTTCATATTCTTCTTTCAGAGGAACAAACTTGTGTGTCTTGTGGTCTAAAACAGAGCAGAGCATGCAGACACAGGTCTGATCGGTCTTACAGAACAGCTCCAGAGGTTTATCGTGCTTCGTACACATCCTGTCCTCCAGGTTCTCCACAGGGTCGATCAGCTGGTGTCTTTTCAGACGTGAAGCTGTCAGATGAGGCTCCAGGTGAGTCTCACAGTAGGAGACCAGACAGTCTAAGCAGGACTTCAGGGCCTTCAGTTTGGGTCCAGTGCAGGCTTCACATAGAACTTCTACTGGTTTGGACTCTTGTAGCTCTGAGCTGCTGCTGCTGCTGGCTTCCTGCTGAGCTTTGTCTCTGAACTGACCAACCATCTCAGAGATGAAAGTGTTGACCCTCAGTTTAGGTCTATTGGTAAAAGCTTCCTTACACATTGGACACCTGTACTGGTCGCTGGTGTTCCAGTGTTCAGTGATGCAATTTTTGCAGAAGTTGTGTCCACATGGTATGGTGACAGGATCATTGAACACATCCAGACAGATGGAGCAGAGAAACTGATCCTCAGACCAATGATAGTTTGCAGCAGCCATATCTACACAGAGTGAAAGAAAGAATAAGATTTAATTAATTTACATGATTTATTGTTTGGAAACTGGAAAGAAGGGATGAAGGATTGACTGATCAAAGTTTGTTACAGATGTTCAGTTAATGATGCGAGTACATCCTTCTGTGGAGCCCTGTGTTGGTAAGAATGAAAAAACCATTCGTATTGCAGGCCTGATTCTAAAGTTCAGACTCGATTTGCTGAGGTTTTGCTTCTTATTCTGCATGTTGTGCTCAGCGTCATGTGCCGGGTTAATCGACTAAACGTTTAAACGTCATCATCGCTAGTTTGCAACAGAATTATGAATCCACCAAACACATATTTTGTACTTAATAATAATAATAATAATAATACATTTTATTTATGGGCGCCTTTCAGGTCACTTAAGATCCCCTTACAGACAAAGGTTAAAACAAGAACGCAATCAACTAAAGAAAAACACAAACAGCAATAATAAGAAGGGACAGAATAGGCAAATATATAATAATGTGTTTTGGTGTGTTTTATTTGAAGGTATAGTGACTGGGGAGATATGCGACCTGAAGTTTTTGAGATGAACAAACTGAGTGCGACCGGAGATATATGACTTGAACCAGGTGAGGGAGGTGCCAGTGAATCCGATTGAAGCTAGTCTGTCGGAGTTATTGCAGCTTTTTTGAAAGATGATGGAACAAGACCAGAAGTGAGAGAGGCCTGGATGATGTCAGTTATTAAAGAGGACAGAGAGGGTAGACAGGCTTTGATCTAGTTTACAGGTAGAATATTTGGATTTTTGAATGATACTAGAAATATCATCATTAGTTAGGAGTTAAAAACTGAAGAGGCTGGAAAGAGCGACTGTCTGCTACATGTTTTATGGAGGACATTTGCTGATGAATATTTTCGATTTTCGCACTGTAAAAGGTCATGAGGGTGTTACAGTGGGCAGTGGAGTATAGGTGCGAGAATATCAGGTGGTCGCAAGATGGTGTTTACAGTGGAAAACAGAGTTCTTGTTTTCCCTTCAACCGACCTGATGAGGTTCGCAAAATATACAGATTTGGCAGCGGAGAGAGCATCACGAAACAGGTTACTTGTCCGGCTGATGAGGCTGGATTTTTATTGGTTGTCATGTATACCGATCTCTGACAAATGTTGGCGGAGTGAGCTGTAGTTCAGATGGTCTTACAACAGCAGCACAGCATCAGACAAACAGAAATACAGATCTCTCTGAGAGCAGTTGCAGCCATACGCACCAACGTTTACTCCTGGAAGAAGGCTGTGTGTAAACATGGCTGTGTGTATTTCATATGTTGGCTCCCCATGCTGGAGTCTAAGGTGTAATGCAGCCAACAGCCACTAGCTGATCCTGTAGCTTCGTTAATGGGCCTTCTCTGGAAAACGCTGACTTCCTCTCAGTATGACAGCTCGCCTACCTGTCGTTACCCAGCAGGTCCCGTTAGCATGATAAGCTAGGCTAGCTAAGCGACAGCTGCAACTCCGAGATTGATTGACACATGTACAGACAAATCAGTGTCACAAGCATGGTGTGTTGTTTTGGTCGGTTAAAACCAGGACAGGGACTGTTCAAAACTGGGACTTACTAGTGTTTTGTAGATATTTGTGGGGACTCGGGACACTTGAAAAGGGGACGGTCCTGGTCAAATCTGGACATGTGGTCACCCTGGTTTGGACCAGTGATGTGATAATTGTGTTTCACGATTCAGGACGACAATATATCGCTGTATCTGTATTTTGTCCAACAACTCCTAATGTCCAAATTATGGGACAGAAATAATTCATGTTCTTTTAGTATTTGGTGAAGTAATCTTTTTTCTTTTTTTAAAGATTATTTTTGGGGCTTTTTGTGCCTTTAATTGAGAGATAGGACAGTGGATAGAGTCGGAAATCAGGGAGAGAGAGAGAGCGGGGAATGACATGCGAGAAAGGCCGGGACGCTCACTTGGAAGACTATAGCCTCCATACATGGGGCGCGCGCACTAACCACTGCACCACCAGCGCCCCTTTGGTGAAGTAATCTTGAATGAATGTGCAGTTTTTAACTCTGACCGAGCTGAGAACAACAAAGATCAATGTTGCTGCATTGTAAAGCTAGAGCGCCCTCTGCTGGTGAAACAGCTGATTTTGAACTTTACTGTTATGCAGACAGATTCTTAGTGCAGGATTTTACTGCTGACAAATCTTTGCTGACAAATTTCACTTCCTTCTCTGCTTCCTTCAAATTAAAAGCCTCATTGTGGTTTCTCCATGTCAAGCTTTTACTGTGAAAGAGCCAGAGGAAATAGAATTCAGTTTGGCTGCAGGATGTAATCAGTAAACAACAATGATACCAGAAATTTAGAAATGAATTCAAGTCCAAATGAGTGAATCTCAGTTACAGACACACACACACACACACACAGTTTAACAAGCTGGAGTATGAAGAGAGAGTGAAATGAAGAGTTGAGTGTAAATCCTGGTTGTTCAAAGTGTAAACATGATCAGCTGTACTCACCAGTGTTTGCAGAGACTCTGCTGTGTCGTTGACAAAGATTGGATGAAGTTAGTTTAATTTCTTTGAAGAGAAACGGAAACCTTTCTGGACGGCTGCGTGGTCGACACCCTGACAAACTTTAAGTTTCATTTCTTCAGAGTGACGCTGAAGCTCTCCTCCCTCACCTGTGGCTCCGCCTCTAACTGCAGCTTGTTTCTTCCCTCTGAGTCACAGGGCTGTTGTGAAATACCAGCTTCAATAGACTGATCTGATCTGATCTGAGAAGAGGAAGAGTCTCATTAAAGTCGTCGTATCTTCTTTGTGAATAAGATACTCGAGTTCATTTATTACAGTCACTCTCGTATCAGGAGAGTTTGGTGCTTGTTGTGGCAGCAGAACAGAACTGATCACTTCTTGTTTCTTCATGTTGGGCTCCATCTAGTGGTCGTTGTGTGTCATAGCAGCAGTCAGAGGTCTACATGGAAACCTGTTGTTTCTGCAGCAGTGTAGCAGGAGAGTCCTGTAGGAGTGGTCTGACACCACCAGGCCTGTGTGGTTTCTGGAATTGTTCAGAATTGAATTATTTTCTGTATTTATAAACCCAGCTGACAGACTGTCAGTGATGGAGTTTAGTTTGAAACAATAAGGTCAACATAGAAGAGTAAAGCTTCATTCTTCTTCCTCGTCTTGTTACCTGTGAGAAGAACAAACAGCTCAGATGTCTCGGGATGTAAACCTGAAGTGTTCTTCCTGGTTTTTATTCATGCTCTCACGTGTCTCTAACGTGTCTGAATTGAATTGTTTGATCTTCAGAGCTCTGCAGCGTGTCAGGTCATGATTTGTTTTGTGTGTGTGCAGACGTGAAGAAGCAACAGAAGAAGAAGAAGAAGAAGAAAGGGGAGGAGGAGGAGCGCACCGCTGAGGAGGAAGAAGAGCTGGAGAAACAAAAGGTCAGAGGTCAATGGCTGCAGCTCCACGTGAGTTTATCACATCTGTAAATATCACCTGAAGACAGCATCTCAACGTGTGTGTGTGTGTGTGTGTGTGTGTGTGTGTGTGTGTGTGTGTGTGTGTGTGTGTGTGTGTGTGTGTGTGTGTGTGTGTGTGTGTGTGTGTGTGTGTGTGTGTGTGTGTGGTTGTGTGTGTGTGTGTGTGTTGTGTTTTCTGTGTGTGTTGTGTGTGTGTGTGTGTGTGTGTGTGTGTGTGTGTCTCTGTCTGTCTGTCTGTGTGATTGTGTTTTCTGTGTGTGTTTTCTGTGTGTGTGTGTGTTTTCTGTGTGTGTGTGTGTGTGTGTGTGTGTGTGTGTCTCTGTCTGTCTGTCTGTCTGTCTGTGTGATTGTGTTTTCTGTGTGTGTTTTCTGTGTGTGTGTGTGTTTTCTGTGTGTGTGTGTGATTGTGTTTTCTGTGTGTGTGTGTGTGTGTGTTTTGTGTGTGTGTGTGTGTGTGTGTGTGTGTGTGTGTGTGTGTGTGTGTGTGTGTGTGTGTGTGTGTGTGTGTGTGTGTGTGTGTGTGTTTTCTGTGTGTGTGTGTGTGTGTTTGTTTTCTGTGTGTGTGTGTGTGTGTGTGTGTGTGTTTTCTGTGTGTGTGTGTGTGTGTGTGTGTGTTTTCTGTGTGTGTGTGTGTGTGTGTGTGTGTTGTGTTTTCTGTGTGTGTGTGTGTGTGTGTGTGTGTGTGTGTGTGTGTGTGTTTTCTGTGTGTGTGTGTGTGTGTGTGTGTGTGTGTGTGTGTGTGTGTGTGTGTGTGTGTGTGTGTGTGTGTGTGTGTGTGTGTGTGTGAGATTGTGTTTTCTGTGTGTGTTTTGTGTGTGTGTGTGTGTGTGTGTGTGTGTGTGTGTGTGTGTGTGTGTCTCTGTCTGTCTGTCTGTGTGATTGTGTTTTCTGTGTGTGTTTTCTGTGTGTGTGTGTGTTTTCTGTGTGTGTGTGTGTGTGTGTGTGTGTGTGTGTGTGTCTCTGTCTGTCTGTCTGTCTGTCTGTGTGATTGTGTTTTCTGTGTGTGTTTTCTGTGTGTGTGTGTGTTTTCTGTGTGTGTGTGTGATTGTGTTTCTCTGTGTGTGTGTGTGTGTGTGTTTTCTGTGTGTGTGTGTGTGTGTGTG